ATCAGCTACTTGATTGTTATTGGTGTTCAGATGTTTGGATTTGCGTTGTATGTATCTGATTTTGCTGTGAAAGGCCATAGAAGCATATTGTCAATACCAAAGGTAAGCCAATTTACCAATAAATTGTTATCCGTATGTTATTCAAGTCCATGCTAAATTACTAGCATTAAAGTGCGACCTCGTAGGAGTTTATCTAAATGCAATTCTTTGGAATGCTGTCTATAATTTGATAGGTGCATGACAGGGCACAGGTCTTTCTTTCATGCCCTTCAGACAGTAATGAAGGACCAATATATTTAGGCACTATAATGAGATGGTCAAGCACACCTATAAGCTTTACAGTTGCTAATTGCACTTCCAGGAACAGGATCTTTATATTGGTATTGGAATACCCACCCCCACTGGTTTTTTTTAATGTTTTGCACTATATTGTCATAGGATTGAATTGAAGTCAAAGATGGAATAACTTGTAGAATTCAAAATTTCAACTGCTTCCTAATATTGTTATCCAATTTTTCAAAAGAATTTGTTATTTCCATTGATGTTATAATTGATGGGGTCTTTCAGAAACAACCTCTCTATCCTTTTTAGGTAGGGGTAAGGTTTGTGTACACCTACCCTCCCTAGATCCCATTTAAGGGATCATTTTGGGTCGGTTGTTATTATGTGATAATATAAAAGTACTCCCTCCATCCCCTTTTACTTTACCCTCTTTCATCTCAAGCCCTCCCAAATAATATTCCATTGTCTTGATATTGATTCTTTCCTCTATAACTAAATTTCAACCACATAATTTATTTTATTAAACTTTATGCAAGGGGTTTAGTGGGGTGGAGTAATTGACTAATGGTAATATTTCCTCTTTATCTCTACCATATTTGGAATGCCGCTAGCGTAATGGCCTTTAATTTATATTTCACGAAGCTCTCTTTTACGGCCAAAAACGTAGTATATATTAATTCATGATCAAATGAGTAACAAAGTCAGGGGGGAATGGAATCTCAAACACCACACTGCAAACCAACACTACGCGCCAGTGTATGAGCAACCGACCATTGCACTAACAACTGACGAAAGAAAAAACAGCAGAGTCAAAAGACCCCAACTCCTAAAAGCAACCATCAATAAAAGAACCAAAATACTAACAAAAATGTTGAGCTCTTTCTTAATATTAGATGATAGTAATCATTGCCTCATTTTCATTTTTATAGGTTGAAAATATGGGGCATCTCAATTACGGGCCATATATATTTGACCGGAAGGTGAAGCTTTTGGCTGTGTTGGATTGTGTCTGCCATGCAATGATATGTCACCTTGTAATTAATTTTTGCTCACTTTTTTGTCTTTGTAGGGGATATTGTCTTCTGTATATATTGATGGAAGACCATTGAATGCATGGAGAATGCTGCCGGTCCCTCTCCACAACTTAAATGAGGATGAAAACATAAGTTATATTATTCCAAATGTACATACCAACTATTTAAAGGCAGCTGCAAGATCTGTACACAAGAGGCTGAAAACTAAATTGAGTAAGTTTGAAGCCAAAAAACAAATGTTACGCCCTTCATACTAAAGAAGAGGATATATACGTAGTACTGATCGCGAACAGTGCTGTTTTTTGTAGAGAGTTTGCAATATTTAACATACATGTAGCAACCATGAAATATTACTTCCTAGTTCATAGTAAACAATTCAGTGCCTTCTGGCTACTGGACAGGCTAAAGCGCTTAATTTCCTTTGTTTGCAGAGATTGGATCAGAACCAGCTTTCTACACCGGTCAGTTTTCTGTCCAAAAAGCCAAGGACACATATATTTCACTTCGGGGCTGGAGTAAGGGTGTTGCATTTGTCAATGGATTTAACATAGGGCGATTTTGGCCGGTAGTATTCTAATTAATTTTAGTTTAAGTGTTGTTCTCCTCGTCCAGATTTAGTTGTGAAATACCTCAAACCTAAAGAACGAAGATAAAATAACATATAAATTAATATGCAATTAGAAATGCTTCTAAATAAGAGTAAAATATGGACTAAGCATCTGAGTAGTAATTCTCAAGAATACGTTGACCTTCATTGACGATAACAATGTTAATATGCAATTAGAAATGCTTCTAAATAAGACTAAAATATGGACTAAGCATCTGAATAGGACACCTAAATAGGAGTTGCAATGTTAACATTGACAATGAATTGGAACCCTGTCACCTGAATCTGGCAGCAGCTGCAGCCGGCGACAGGTAGCTGAGGTTTTCGTATCACTGTTTACGTGTGTCAATGTCTCAATGTGTCATTTTCAACGCTTACTTATATTTAGGTATAAAAAAATTAGGGTGTTTCTGGGTGATTTATGGGGTATTTATATAATTCGCCATCATTTGTTTATTTGATATGATAAGCAGACAATGAATTCCGAACACCCCAAAAAGAAGAAAAATGGACAACTAAACCAGAGAGAGACCATTATGCTGGTTGTTTTTTATTTGTTCCTTTAACAAAAAATATTCTGTTCAATTGATTTGCAGTCATTTGGGCCGCAGTGTAATCTCTATGTTCCTGCTCCAATCCTTGTGGAAGGGAAAAACCTTGTGGTATGGCATTCAAAAGTGTAAAAATCTCTTCTTTCATCCTTTCTGAGAAATAGAAAATCAAATAGCACATTTACTTTCTATGACACATGATTAGACAACAATTGTGCTAGTAGACAATAATAAGCTTCTCCTTTAACTTTTTTTGGGCAATGCTAGGGGTACACCAACATGGGTACCCCATTTGTACACCAACACACACACAGACACAAAATGTTTGTGCAGCAGAGACATTTTGTGTCTATGTGTGTCTGTGTTGGCTTGGTGTACATATGTGGTATCCCATGTTGGTGTACCCCTAGGTTAATTCTTTTTTTTTTTTGAGTCTTCTCGCAATTTACTACAGTAAATTGTTTTCATTTACCACAGGTGATTCTAGAGTTGGAAAGGGCAAACCCTGATCTTTCGGTGACTTCAGTGGAGCAGCCCGATTTTACTTGTGGATCCACAAGCTGAAATGTGCATCAACTCTGACATTATCCAAAGCATGTGTGTGTCACTAAAACCTCAAATATAATCCAGTTTGATTTCGGCTTTTAAATTTCTCTTTTGTTGGATTTGTGTGTACATGTAAGCAATGCTGAAGTATTTTGGACCATATATGAGGGAGTATTATTTTTTTAAAACAGAAGAAAAATTGAACAAATTACAATATTTCGGGACAAACGAAAAAAAGTGTTGTTAAGGGTTCCGGTACATCGATATTCAATGTCTTGTTGAAAATTCAAGATTTAGTTTCTCGTAATTTTCTATAAAGTCTTATAGAGTAATGGGATCTCAATCTTTGAGAAAAAATTCTGTCAAAATCTTGAGTAGAAAAAATATACTCTTGTATTTTATAGATGTCTTGCTCTTTGTGGTTAGCTATTTTCTAAAATAAATCATAGTATGATTTTTGTTGGAGTTAAATTGGTTCACTTTTGTGTCAATTGAATGACCTGACTATGATGTTACCGTTACGTCGGGAGGGTTAATAGACTAATGAGGTTGGTTAACTGACTATCCAAGTTCGATTCGGATTCGATTCATCTTGGTATTCATCGAGCTAACTATAAGAGATTGAGATATTAGACTTATTCATCTAAGTAGTAACTAGATCATGCTAGTTACTATTTGAGAGAGGTGTTGGGAACCGTGTGCTGGGTTTATCCCACATCGGACACTCCACCCAATCCACTAAGCTTATCAAAATTTCAGCAAAATAATATCGAGCCATGTTGTTAGTAGGTTAATTGGTTTACGCATATGGTTATTTTATCAACGTAAAGGTATAACAATCACATTCCAAAGGGAATTTAAAAAAATTAGTCTTGAGAGGTAATCAATTATCGTGGCCTCCAAAATTTATAACAATTACTGGTGTAATACTTCTCATATATTTGTAATTATACGTTGTTTGAAGTTATAATAATTTTTTTTATGAGCTTGATTTGGAGAATGATATCATATTTAAAAAGTCCTCATCGTACCTACCCTTGTGGGAATTTATTTCGAGTGTTTAAATCTCTCTTCTTGTGTCTCTTTCAACCTTTGAAATCTCAGGTGCTGAATATCTTTTTTTAAACCTACTAGATTAAAATTCTTGGTCATAAATGATTTGTTAAACACCCTTAAACTTGGTAGCTTAATACAATTTTAAGTGACTCTATTATACATCCGGTTGTACCCACAATTGGGTACAACTGGTAAGTCAAAAAAAGGAGAAAAGTTGTGCGGATCGGAGAAGAAAGGAGAGGTTCCTAATCGGGTCGGGTCAGATCGCATAGGAGAGAAAGGAGAGGTCGATCGAGGAAGGAGAGGATGGAGAGGTGCTCCTTCGATCGACGAAGAAAGCTGCTGTATGGAAGGAGAGGTGTTCCGCATCCGTAGACCGAGGAAAACCCTAGTCGGGTCGGGTGGCGTAGGAGAGAAACTATTTATGGTATGGATTATATTTTGCATGAAAATAAACACTACATTATTTATAGATGAATATTATAATTATATTGAACCAATGTGTGAAAATGAGTACTGCATTATTTTAGAATGAATACCATGCTAATTATAATTAACGAGAATCAGTACTGCTCTACTTCAGAATGATAACTACCCGGATGTACCTATCTCTATGTACATACAGTTGTACCATATACCTTCTCACAGGAACTCAATTAGTGAGATAAGTGATAACTAAGATATTCGTATCATTGTGCACCCTCCATACTTTTACTATTCTACTGCATACATTTTAAATTGACTCAAACACTTGCAAAAATCAAAGAAGCATTCTCATTTTTCCATTCACACTCCCTCCACAGTTGGACACATATTTAAACAGAAACTTGGAAGAAACTTCTCAACTTTGTTTTCTTTGTTTTTTCAACAACTAGACAACATGGGAAAAAATACAATACAATACATCATTCCATGGTACAAAATCAATCATAATACATTTTATTCCTACATTGTGTTGCTTTGCCCAACAGGCTGCAAAACCTTCAAACTTGAGTTTAGGTCGCATAATGCCTATTTTGCCACCAAATAGCTAGCGTTGCCAAAATTTGTTATTTTGGCAATTGCTTAGCAGAATCCTGCTGTTCTTGTTGGATCCCGAAACAGCTACAGATGTTGCAGCTGTCATTGCAGCAGCAGCGGCTGCTGCTGCAACTTTAGCTCCCCCTCCGGCTTTTATGGCACCACCGATTTTAGCAAAAGCCGCTATTCCTCCTACAAGTATGGCTCTCAAAGCCACTGTTGGTTTTATTGACATTTTCGCTAACTTGAAATTCTTTGTTTGGTATAATCTGCACATTGTATGAAAATCCAAAATAAATAATCCATATATCTCAGCACTAAACGTGTTACCAATAAACAGAGTACAAAATAGCATGCCATATTACATTTAACAATCAACCCGTGCGCAAAAGTCATATTAGTAATCATAATCAAAGCTCCAAGCTTAGTAGCTGATTCCCTCCCTATGCTAAAACGTAAGTTGAGAGAACTGGATTGGTAAGTGACCCGGTGGAGCGAGTGGATTAATCATTAATGGATCAATTAATTGGATCAGTAGTGGAACCCATTCACCCATTTTATAATTGGGTTTGCTTTGACCCAAGCAAATTACTAGAGAACGAAAAAAAATTGAACTCAATAATTTTTATTGAATGCTTTGTATGTTTTAACTGCTTTTTTTTATATTTATTATGATAAACTAATATCATAAACTTATAATAATATAAGGATGCACAAAAATAAAAAATTACTAGCGTAGTTTTTTTACCTAAAAATTACTCGTATTGAAAGTGTTGCAAGTTTTTAGTAGACGTCGTGGGTTTTTTTAGTCCAAAAGGTTCTGAGAATAAGTTTCAATTTAATATTCACGTGTACATATTTTTACTAACTAATAAAAAAAACATCTTGGCATCTCACAAATGCAATTACTAACATAGCATTTCCCCTCTCTTCAAACCTCACCAGGACTTCAATCAACTTTGGATTGCATGGTTCACTTTCTCAAGTTGAAGCTTAGACAAATCAGCATCACTATAAAGGTGTTACTAGTTGTCAACTATGCATCCAGTCGCAAGGAAGGGACGACTGGTGGTGGCGAATAGCGACTGGCCACTAGAGTAAAGGATGGCATAATCAAAATTTCAAAGCCCTAACCTATGGCCAAAGTAGAACCACTGCCATTCATCACTACTACTGCCATTCCTTAAGTAAGATTTGGTCTTTCATTATGTTGAACCGACTTCCCATATTTGGTTTCTTTTCATTTTTATTTTCTATCATGTTTTTTGGGGGAGGGGGCAAAAGATCCAGGGGCAGACCCAAATTTTTTTGGGTATGGGGTCCCTGTCCTAAACCATTAACGGCATACACATGAAGTGTGTTGTGTACTCTTTCGCCAAGAGCTATGTGAACTAGTCTATATTTTATTTGTACCAAATTTTGAAAATGAAAGGGAGAGATGTTTAATCATCATAACTATTCAAAGTTTTCCTATAAATGATTTTTAAAAATATTAAAGTTTTAACTCTCAGTGCAAGGTGAATGAGTGAATCATAATATCTTTGATTGAATGAATTTGGTGGGTATATCTTTGGTAGAATCAGAGTTATCCATCACCTCATTATTCCTTAACTTCTTAATACGTTAAGAAATAATAAAAATATGATCATAATCACCCTATTTTGTTTTGCTTTAGAATTTAGAAACATTCTATTGACATGATATATACTAGTTCCACCAAAGCATTCACCTCATTTACCCTTCCAAAACTGTCTGTCCCAACAGACCATGAAGGAACTAACATTATAGAAAATGTCTTCTGTGTTTACGTTCTATCTATCATGTAATGACAAGCTTATAAAGCCACTTCACACCAATTGTGTAAAGACGGAAAGAGGCAGGGATGGAGTGACTTCTCGTATTAATGCTTGATATGTTATGTCTAAGTAGAAACATTTAAAATTTCCACTCATAGATAAGGCCAGAAAACCTCATTCTCTGTAGCTTTCCATCTTTTAGCATTTACGACAACAACACCACTTGAATCCCACAAGGAGTAGGAGAGGGTGTGTGTATGAAGACCTTACCCCTACTCGAAAGTAGAGAGGCTGTTTCCAAAGAGATCCCCAGCTCAGCATCGAAAATTGCATTGATTGACTTACTGCTACTTCATTAATTAAAGAAGAGAAGCGCAGACAGTTTAGAGATCCATTTTGCTTTATTCCATCACACCCCAAAGCCAAAAAAATGGTGCTTGAAATCCTTAAAAAGACTCGTATCAATTTCCACAACAACTTCCTGTACAACTTTCTTTTTCCCCACTCCCTTTTTATAGTGTTACTTGTCTGTTTCATAAGATTAAATTTACACTTTATTGCTTAGTATGAAGACATGTCCCATAAAGATGGCATGCTCATTTGGTGGAATGAAAACATTGCTTGTAGTCGTATGATGCACCATATATGAAAGATAAATGCATTTTGAGACCAAATAAAAAATCTAAGTGTTTTAAATCTTGGGGGCCAGGGTATTTAAAACTTAAAACTATTGTGAAAATTAACAAGTTAACTTTAATTAACATTTTGCAAATTAAATTTAAAAACTAAACCTTAATATGATCATATGGAAATTAACATACTCACAAATGACAAATCCATACTTAACAAATCCACGGATCATAATTTCATATACTCCGTATATCATATACAAATTATTCTTAGGGTCCTTTTGATACACGGAATTCAAGTCATGAAATTAGAATTGAAGACTTCACTTCCAATTCAGCTATTTGATAGCACAAAATATGTGAATTTGGAATTAGTAGGGCAAGAAATATAATGGAATTGAAAATTTCATTTTCATTGAATTAAATTCCATAAAATTTAATTTCCAATTCTTGTCAATTCCATGAACGAAACTGTTAGGATTTACGTAGTAGATTGATACAATTATACTCCGTAGAAACTAAAAAAACCTGGCGTCGTAGCGGAAGAGCGGGGCGGAGGGTGGAGCACTGGACGACAGTTAGGTAATTTTAGATTTAGGTTTTAAAAAAGAGGGCACGGTGTTTGCAACCTTTAATTAAAAGAACAATTAGCTAGCCTGAGCCCTTCAAAAAAATATTCTCACCTTTTAAAACTGGGGTAATTCTCATGACATTGTCCTGCAATGTCATGATGTCACCCGGAGCATTCTAATACCTCGTTGGTAAAATTGACGATTCCTATCATATTAGTAAACCCCTAATTCGCCTCGACCTGAACACATACCCTCACCCCCTTCAATTACACCCCCAAGATAATTTTGACTTTTGAGTCAATTTTAACTCCAAAATAAAAATTAACTTGGCGGGTGCAATTGAAGGAGTGAAAGTGTATTCAGGTCGGGGCAGAGTTGAGGGGTTTATCAGGGATTAGGAGATAGAAACTGTTAATTTTACGAATAGAATACCGGAGCGCTCTCAAGTCATCCATGATATGAGATGCTAATGTCATAAGAACTCCTCCGTTTAAAATTATGTGAATCTCGAGTAAATTTCAGTAACACTACCTGAATTTTCATGGAATTTCGAAGTGGTACTTGAATTATAAATCCTTTCACAAACGTACCTGAACTTACATAATCCTTTCACTAAAAGTCTATTTTCTCGTTTCTAGGTTAACTTGCGGTCATTTGGGCTAAATTAGAAATTTATATATTTTAAAATTTTTAATTTGATCTCATTTCTCTTTTTGTTCTTCTTCCCCCTCCCACTCCCTTCTTTTTCTTATTCTTTCACCCCCTTTCTTCTTCTTCTTCTTCTTCTTCTTCTTCTTCTTCTTCTTCTTCTTCTTCTTCTTCTTCTTCTTCTTCTTCTTCTTCTTCTACCCCACCCCACTCCCAGTCCTTGCCAGCCCCCCACTCTCTATTATGTTTGAAATCTCCACGAAGCTGAGATTTGGTGACTTCAATCTTATCCGACAAGTCGGGAAACTCAAATGGTGGTGTCTCTAGGCCCTGGCGAGCCATGAGATCGTACAAGTTGTGAAGACACATTTGAGTGAAGCAGCTCATGCCGTCGAACAAAATCCTCGGAATGCCGAGTTTGTCAGCGATTTTGGCGGTCCAAGGGATGTTTTTGTCGGAGATGATACAGCTGGGGCCTGGGTGTCGGGGTAATCTCTCGGAGAATCTTTTTGTCCTGTACGTGGAGCAAGGCGTATCGGCCAAGAAGTTTTCGGTTAAAGAGTACGACAACAGGACATCATAGCTCTCGCAACCCTCTAGCAGCCCGGCCTCGGATGCCGGGAACCGGAGCTGGCGGATGCGGATGGGGAGGCCGAACCGGACCACGCGGTTTATCACGAGTTTGAACCGGGCGGTGTTTTGGGAGGTGAGGAGTATGGTGGTGTTGAAGAAGAAGAAGAATAATAAGAAAGGGGGTGAAACCATGAAAGAAGAATAAAAAGAAGGGAGAGGGAGGGGGAAGAAGAAGAAAAAAAGAAATAGGATCAAATTGAAAAATTTAAACTATATAAATATCTAATTTAGCACAAATGACTGGAACCTGGAAACATGTAAAAGGACTTTTAGTGAAAGGATTATGTAAGTTCGGGTACTTTTGTGAAAGGATTTAAAGTTTAGGTACCACTTCGAAATTTCAGCAAAAGTTCAGGTAATATTACTGCAATTTACCCTGTGAATCTCATTGGTTTACTCTTGTGCATCACCCTTAGGAACATAATGATAATCTAGTGAAATGTAAAGTAAGATTATTTTGACATGAATTCGATTTTAAATTTTAAAATTTAGAATTGTACTTTTTAAATCCTTTAATATTAAATTTGAGAGTTGATTAAGTAGAATGATGACATGTGTCACTTAAAGATGGTTTAATTTAATGCCACATCAGCCCTCCATGTGTGTTAATTTGGTGTGTTTTCAGCATCTCCCCATCTTCATCGTCTCATTCAAGCGCAAGAGAGAAATTTCTCTCGCCTGTCCTCCTCCATCGCGTGAAATCCGTGAGTTCTTAGATTTGTTCAAGAAGGACTTACCAAGAGCTAATAGTGGAAACTTCCATCTTCATCCTAGATCAATCATCGATGCAGGTCAGCTAAAAGATCCGTCTTCCATCTCCGCGAAAGAAAGTCTACAAATTCGGTATGTTTCATATTTTTTTGGATATTTATGTATAGTCGAGCAAAGCCCGCTCATCAGATTACTTTTCCTTTCCAGATTACGTCCTTAAAATATGTTTCTTTCCATTTTCTTTTTTTTTTTTTTTGCAAATTAAGTTTGTTTTGAAATTCTTAGTTTTTTTAAAGGATATACTATACATATATGCATATAAGTTCTCTTTGGATCACTTTACTTCATTGTTGTTAAGTAATGATATACTCTCCATCTCGAAAAGCTGTTGTGAGTTGTAATAAAATTTTGGCGAGAATGGTGCCTGTTCATAGGTTATCAGCCAGCTTTTATGTGAAAGAAATTTAGTCTATCACATGTTTGTATTTAGGACCTGAAGCTATGAGGTCTAAAACAATTTAGGAGTTGTCAAGTTTTAAACAGACATTATATTTGAGTAAATACTACAGTTTAAAGAGAGTACAATAGGGCTATAAATCAGTAACCAAGTGATGGTTTATAAGCCAACTTCTATGGGGGAAAAAATCTGAAGGGAAGTACAACTTGATGGTTTATATGGGGTTAGAAGTTGTCAAGTTTTAATCCAAATGATGGTTTATAAGCCAACTTTTGTAGCACATGGTTTATAAGCCAACTTTTGTAGGGGAAAAATTAGTCTATCATATGTTTGTAGGCATTATGAGTTAAGGTTTGTCAAGTTTTAAAAAAATATTATATTTGAATAAATACTACAGTCTAAAGAGAGCACAATGAGCCTTAATATTTACCATTAAATGTCATGAGAGAAAACCTATGAAGATTGGGCAAAAGATTGACTTTGAATATTACTTAGTTGTTGAATGTTGTCCTATGAATAGATAGTTATTCATACTACCGTCTGAAGGAGAGTACAATATGGAGATATAAAATAGAAACCAAATATGCTTTAAAATGCAGTGTATTGTTTTTTATTCTCACTGATATTTTTCTTGCAAAAATTTGAAGGAGAGTACAATCCATGCAAAAGTGCAGAAAAGTTTAGTTGTAACTCTTGAGAGACGACTCAAGGAGGATTCTTTGTACATCTTTGCATATTTTGGCATAGGCATCAGCAGTGGCTATTATCGTACCTCGAGATATGAGTACAGACTTAACTTCCAACCATGAACTACTGTTAGCAAATGTACTTTTGACAAAATTCCAGTGCATTGGCTTAGGTTGAGTACTTTTGCTGATATTTTGCAAACATACTCAAACTACACGTACTTAGTTGGTAATCTTTCGTTCTCTTATCCAAAATTAAAGCTAATCATGAGATGTGTTTCGAGATCTAATTTTTTCTTTTTCCACAGACACTATGGGGATCCTAAGAACGGTGACACTGTGTGCAAGCAAAAGGAGATAGTAAAAGAGTCTAAAAGGTCAAAGATGATTGTCATCAAGTTAGAAGCAGAAGGGTATTGTTATTTTCAAAGCTACACATCAAAAAAATATAATTAGTCCATTAATATAATAGTGTCAATTGTGGTATGTTATTTGAGTTTTGTGATTTAGGTTGACATTGGATATATCACACTTTTTGGGAAATACGTTGACAAGTTAAAAAGCTTCTTCCAACAACAGCAATAGGGACATCCCATAATTGTGATACAATATGCAAAAGTGAAAGTGTTTCAAGGTAGTATGAATAATTATATAGTATTATGGATTTTTTTTTGGTTTTTCATATCAATATCATCTTTTCTCTTATTCTTTTAAAAATAACCATGTGAAAAATTACTAGGAAATATAATTTTATAGAATGTCATGTACGGAATGTCATGTGTACGGAACCCGTGTCTTATTAAATCCAGATCGAGATAGAACAAGTGATTGCATTTAGTAACTCTCTGACTTCTTACAATTAAAACATTTTTGTGAAGGGCTCTTAGTGTGACATCTCAACGTCAACCCATTATGTTGTCATGTGATGGCATTTTAAATGTGCAGCAAAGTAAAGTCCTAGATGCTGATCGGATGAAGCTAATACTGACACTGAAGGTTGTCGTTTGTTGGATTATGTGGTTAATACTAATGCTCACGTGAGAGAGAAAATAAATGATTATATGAATAATAATTGCATTATCATTTGTTGGATAATAAGAGTCAGGGCCAAAAGTTATCATTTGTTGAATTATTCACTCACGGTCAACTTTATGTTGCAATTTCACGAGTAAAAACTAAGAGAGGATTGAAAGTATTAGTTTTAGATGACAACGATAACCCTTGCAATTGTACCAAAAATATGGTTTACTGAGAAGTTTTCCAAAAAAATTGGATTGAATTGATACATTTATATATTCTTTTCAATTTTTATATACATGAATTTTAGTTAGCATACTCAGTTTATGTCGTATCTAACATTCTATATTATGTTTACTTTAATTTTATAACTATTTATTTCAAACAAAAAATTAGCAGAGTTAAAAATAACATGCGCTCGACCCCGTGAGTGGCACAGGTTAAATACTAGTGTACGAGGGCGATTCCTTGGCGATTCCTTTGGTGCCATTTCAAAATTGAGGGTTTTGAAACCCTCCACACTTGGACCACTAAGAAATAGACATGTGGAAACAATACTCCACATCAAATTATTCTTTTTTATTACAATTGGCCCCAAACCTAAATTGAATTATTTTTCTTTCCTTCACGGCAATCTCCCGTTAGAGAAAGCCGTCTCCATCTCCGGGC